GCACCGAAAGACTCAAACAGATGAGAGTGTATATTTGATGAAATATTCAGTGAGTTGAGATGTTGGCTCTGCTACAGCTATGTCATTCGTATTGTTAAAGTTCTTAAACTAGAGAAGAGGTTGCCCATTCACATCACATTGACATTTAAAAAGGTGTGTGTAACTTTCTCGGTTAAAACTTTTAGATTTGTATATCTTTGAATGTACATTTTATTGATCTGAATTGAATTCCAAAAGTGGTCCTTGCCAGAGTGACATTGTATCTGACGCAATGTGGCTTTCCTGGTCCAGACCTTAAAACTTCATCTTCCGTTTATCAAATCATCATCAGTATTCATGTGATACACCAGACCGATACTGATTAACCAGGTTGAAAAGTGGACTACCATTAATTCTACATTCCTAATGACCGGTTCTTTATATCTCCGGTTCTTTATATTCAACCAGTTTTGACAGGTTTGCAAAATCATGCACATTTGGGCAAAATGTGGTTTTTTTACAACCGTTTTAAACGTCTTTTTTGAAGAAGTTTAGAATTAACCATCAAAAAAGTCAGAAATTTTAAAGGTACAGTCACACCGTTGCAGCTGTCCACAGAGTAATTGACAAAATTATTGTTGGTTTACTACTTGGTTATACTCGGTTTAAAGATGGTCATAGGACTAAACTTCCTGTGGAATAATTCTCTCAGGCAAGCTGTCATTTAAAAAAAGAAATGAAAGAAGGCCATTTCCAGCAATGTGTCTAAAGATGCACATATGGAAATTGCCATTAGTAGTTCGTTTTCAATTCAGTGAAGCTTGTGCAACTGTTGACAACATGCACATGGATGCAATAATTCATCAGTACAGTGCACAATGTCACACAGCTTCATTCACCTGAATGAGAGGAGAAACATAACTCAACAGTGTTTAGTTAAAATCAAGATCATAGAATATTGTTTTTCTTGGTATATGCTGCATTCACTGAGCTCAAACTTAAGGTTACACATGTAGTTGCAAGACACCTTTCTTTAGATTTTGAGCACTTCTGTTTCTTCAATCGAACATAGTGCACCAGTGGCAGATGACGGACTGTACCTTTAAAAAGAGAAAGGTTCGAAGGTGAAGATTTTTAAGATTGAAGGAAAAAATAAAGATTCATTCAAATACTGTACAAATGTTGCTCAAACAATATTACCCCAGCACTTTTTCTAGATTATTGGTATCAGGAATCCCATTGAAACACCAAAATCTCACAATAAGGTAAGAAACAAAAACTAATGACATATTTTGACAGTTGCTCCTTTCTAAGTCGTCCTCGGTTCCAGCTGATTTGGGAACAATTGTAATAAAGGGCAATTCCACTGACTTTCCTTCAAATTTTTTTCATCCTCATTTTTGCCCCTGCTATCGTCTCAGCTCTTGCCAAAGTGCTAGGAGGTTTACTTTGCCAATCAGATTCCATGCGGGACAGTGTGTGCTTCCATTTTCAAGAAATGTCATGGAGAATTTCGTTATCTGTATAATACGAAATTCTTTGAAATTTCCTGGAAAAAACCCAGCATTTATTAACAGTGCACACCATCAAAAAGTTGATATATATATATTTACTTCAATCACAAAAGAGTTTTTAAAAATTTGTTTCAGGAAAAAAATTGAAAAATCTTTTTTTTCTAATGTTCCCCCGTTGCGAGGAAGATGGCGCTGTATTGTACCCACTGTAGTACCGTAGGCGCTTTAAAAGAAACCCAACATTTTTCAGACATTTGAGAGATTCTGTTTTGTGCAGAGAAAAATCAAGATTCATGCAGGGTGTTTTTCTTGGAGCTAAGATGTCTATTAAGACAAATATAGTGAAGATATCCCATGTATTGGACACAATAAGCTTTGCATTTCAGTGCTACACCTTTTGATTCCAAAAAGTTGTTTCTTTGGAACTCTCAAGTTTTTAGTGATCTTGACAAAGAAATTTTCTTGTCAATTCCAGTGAAATTTTTTCTCTCTCTGTAGAGTTCGAAGACTCTGTTTATTTTAATATCTTTTTCCGTACTTTACACAGAATTTACAAAGAAATTAACATTACAATCAGTACAAAAAAACTAAGAGAAAGTATTCCTGGCTATAACAAAAGAAAAGCATAGTAAATACATGAAAATTTAAAGCAAAAACTCACAAAAAAATAAAATAGCTAAACCGGATAGGAAAATTCGGAAACACGTTGATGCTCCTTTTAACTTATCTGAGGAGATTTAAAAAAAAATTGACATACAGAATTAGAAAATTAGTTACAATATAATTACAGTAAATTACAGTTAAAATATGTCTATACTGTGCAAAATATAATCAGTAATGGAAAACAAGGTTGTTGTTGCTATCAGTGTGACATAGTGCCGCGTTTTTAGCATAACAAAACTTGAATGCATCACTGGACATTCTATTTCTTTGCCGGGTTAGAAATTCCTTTTAATGCTTTTTGAACTGAAAGACTATGTCAACATCAGCTGAACAGGCATAACTGTAAAAAAAAAAAACCCTCTTACATCGAATGATCCAAATTTGATGGAGCATTTTAACAACACTCAAGACCAGATTCATCCTGTAACCCAAAATTCTGGCAGAATCATTGATCTGGAGATATTTGTTGCCGGTGAATTTCCTGAGAAGATATTCAACAAAGACCCAAGTGCTGAACGTTTTGACACAGTAAATGAACAAGTGCTGATGGCTTTCCTCTTGGGTGTTACTGAGAGGGCACTTACTATTGTATTGTTTGCCAGTTGAAATTTATATTTAAATCCATCTCAGTATGCGTGGACTATGACAATGTGATTTCTCTCATCAGAGAGACATTGTTTAATCCTATTTTAGATTGATTGGAAACGCCTTGTGTTCGCAGGTGCTTTTAAGTTTGTATATGTCTTTCTAAACTCAGTTTTGTATATTTATCCATCTGCTGTGCCATGTGTTATCACACATTCAAGTGATGTGTCTGACATTGTTTTTAACAGTTGAACATGATGCTTAAATTCAAATAGCTGCCTTCTTTTGAGGGTCACTGACGATAAAGTTGGCTACATTTAATTTGTTCTCACCGCTCCACTTTTGTACCTTTGTGGCATTAGTAACAGAAATGGCGATGATGTAAACATATCCTATTTTGGGCTGGTTTTCTTTTTTAAATTTTGAGGCTGAAATGAATCATTTAAGAGACTTATTTATTCACATTTTTTGAGAATATGTACTCGGTTTAAAATGTCCATGTGGAAATGCAGTTAGAGAGAGAAAAAAGTGGTCGGATTTAAATTTTTGGCTTAGAAGCTACCGAGCCCTGTGCTTCTTGTTTTTCCAGTAATGCCTTAGTTCAAAGGACACTAATTGGCTTAGAAAACTTATGGTGTTGGGGATAAAATTCAAGGACAGTTCAGACGCTTGTGGAATACGTTGTATTGTGGACAAAACTTTAATGAGAACATTGGAAATTATTTGAATTTGTTCTTTTTCCTACATACGGGGTAATCAAAGTGAAATCCATCAACTTATGCATGCTTACAGATTATGAAACAATAATCCTATTATTTCAATTTTTATCTATGTTATGTATTGACTATTCATGTTTTTGCGTATGTATTTCATTTTTAATCGTCAAGAATGATTTGTAATATCAATGCTTTGTTTTTTGTCAGTATTTCAGAAGGTGATGTAAAGTTGCAAAGGTTAAGTGCGCTGTGTGTACTGCATGCCAGTGTTATTTTTGTATGGATGTTATGCTAATTAGTTCAGCACCTGTGAAACCTATTTGGTGTGCCTGTGCATAAATTATGTAAATTTAGTGGATTTGCAGTATCATTAAACAAACAAGAGTACCGTATTTGTAATAAATGATTCAGCACCAAGTGTTCTTTAACTCTCTGTGCAGTTGATTTCCAGTCAGGATGCAGTGAATGTGCTCATTGGACAGGAATCGTCATTGAAACTCATCTTTGGTGAGCAAGGAGATGCCAGTTATAAACTTTTCATGTTATATGCACAGGCAGATACATTTTATTCAATCTTCCCAATGCTTTGTGGCCACTGTGTGGCCCATATCCATGAATACGATAGTGACAACCAGTATCCCAAACGCGGACACCAAATGGTGTTTAATTGCATCATTATTGCCCATGGAAGCCATTTTGTCTCCAGGTTTGCAGAATTCTTTGTTACAGTGCATGTCCCGTCATGGCTCTCCTTAGGCATTGAACCAAAGGATGTTCTCCGGGTACAAAGGAACAGAAACTGCGCAGCTTTGCCAAATTAAGGATGTGAAAATCTTACAATGTGTACAAATCCGGTGTAATTAAAAATGGTAGCTACTAGTGTGTCATATTTTTGTAATTACAGTACCAGATTATGTAATACTGTGTATAACAAAAGTATTTACAGAAAGTATGTTGTAGACTTAGTACCACTTTTTATATATTTTTACATGCATGAACTCATTCATGGAATACTTTTAACAGCATTTGTGAAGTGGCTGAACTGTGTAGCACAGTGTGCTTTCATGGTTATATTTTTAGTGGTAATTTGGGTGTGGAATATTCGTGTCATATTGGAGTGGAATATTCTCATGGTGGTGGAGTGGGATATTCATGTAAAAATGGGTGGAATATTCTTGTGATATTGAAGTGGAATATTCATGTGATAATGGAGTGGAATATTCTCGTGATGGTGGAGTGGAATATTCTCGTGATGGTGGAGTGGAATATTCTTGTGATAGTGGAGTGGAATATTCTTGTGATGGTGGCGTGGAATATTCTCGTGATGGTGGAGTGGAATATTCTCGTGATGGTGGAGTGGAATATTCTCATGATGGTGGAGTGGAATATTCTCATGATGGTGAAGTGGAATATTCTCGTGATAGTGGAGTGGAATATTCTCGTGATGGTGGAGTGGAATATTCTTGTGATGGTGGAGTGGAATATTCTCGTAATAGTGGAGTGGAATATGATGTGATATTAGTAGAGGTAGTTGCAGGTGACAAGTACAATGGGTAAATTGATTTAAAGTTCAGATCACCACTCTGTGGTGGTAGGTATGGGGCTCTGCCTACTTTTTCGGCCCATTCATGTCTGTTCTTCTCAATTTTAGTGAGTCAATTGCACAAGTCCACACAAGTCCAACAATATTTCATTTTCAGCCCTCCATTTTGGGGAGAAAACAAAAGCCATTGTAGGGTTTTGGAGTGTGTAAAACTGTAAAAACCTTGGGGTCAATCCTTGATAGCCTATGGTGTGAAAAAGCATCTGTCCCATTGTCGTTTTTAGTCTACCTCATGTATTTCTTTCTCTCTGAATACCCAATCAACTTGAAACAAAGTGGTAACTTTATCCCCCCCCCCATGCCATTTAGCAGCTGTAATTCAAGGTAAGGGGTTCAGTTTAGTTAAATGTGGGCAGAAGTGCCCACATGTTGAAATTATGAGCTTTGGGATGTACCACATTATCTGAGGTTATTTGTATTGTGTTGAAAAAAGAAAAAATAAATGGAATATTTACCAATTGGAGAGCCTTGTTACGTTATGTTGTCTTTTTGTATGTTTCCTTTTTATGTTAATTTTTTGGTGGAATGTTTTACTTTTTGAGTTGGAAAAAGAATTTTCTGAATGAATTTAGTTTTGAAAAAGACAAAATCTGTTACGTTTTCAAGTTCCAAGAGACTTGGTACAAAAATCTAAAATTGCTTTTACTTCATGTATTAAGTTCTGAGTGTTTTATTTATCTTTTTTTTTAGTTTTAGTTGATTTAAAAATTTAACGAAACACGGAGGAATAAAACACGTTTAAGTCGATTTTTCAAGAAAGGGCTGTGTTTGGATGGTTGTTAGAGGGCGTAGTAGATACAGTCGATAGAGGGCGCTGTAAAAAAAAAGTCACGCGCGCCATTTTGAAAGGACAAAAATTGACGTTTCGGAATCTGGTCTTTCGTGGATTTTCCAGGAATGCAGGAAAACGTGAGTTAAAAAGGAACAGTTTTAATAGTTTGAAAAACATACATTCATTATTTTGAAAAAGAATCTGTTTTCAAGGGGTAAGTGTCTTATATTGGCAATAAAAATCATGAACAAACTTGCAAACTTAAGTCCGCATGGTGACGACGAGCATGATGACGGGTGTCGTCTTGGTCACTTCGCCCCGTTTCCACTTCGCCCCGTTTCCACTTCGCCCCATCCCCACCGAAATCTTTCATTTTTTTCTTTTAGTTGAACAAACGTGACAGAGGCTTGAATTTTTCATTGCCAGTGATTTCCCAATCAGCGATATTCGCCCAGGTAGGGGGCCTAGGCCTAATCAATAATTTATGGCCTGAGGATAGGCCTACTAGGTTTTATTGGAACAGAGAGAAAAATTGTACATGTTTCTGTAAAAAGTTTTGATAAATTTAATAAATAAAAGATGCAATTTTTCCGAAATTCGTAATTTCTCCGAAATTCGTAATTTCTCCTTGACCGTGTCTGTCATGACCTACCGTTTATCTCCTTAACAGTTATTTCTACAGTTCTAATGCCACCCTGCCCTTGGATATCAATTGCTACATGTAGGTTCCCATTAAGTCAATTTCAGAATTGCCAAAGGTGTTTAAAACCCTAAAGGCATAGGCCTGTTTTAACTGCGAAAATGCTCTGTATTTTTTGTAGACAAAATGAGCGGTCATGCTATTTGGCGTCAGCAAGCGTCAACACACATATTAAGCCTACTAAGTAGCGTCAACAAAGTGTTAACCTGTTAACAACTTCAAAATAACTTCTACATATTGTATAAGTGGTTTTATTATATTTTAAAGACTCTAACACTTGCCACAGAATAATTAAAAAAAACAAATTTGCTTCCAGATTCTTGCAGGAAAACGAAACGTTTTCGCAATGTATGGGGCTGCCATCTTTCTTTCCTCTGCTTGACTCTGAAACGATGTCAAATAGTCTTCATACAAGGAAGAAGAGCACAGAGATACAAAAAAGTGATTCTAGAAAAATTCTTTTCTTGGTTCCTTTAACAAGGTGAGGCAGTGCAATGGTTCCCATCTCGTTCTCTCGGCATTTGGCATCTTTAAGGAGGGGACTGGAAAATTGGAGTCTATTACAAGTAAAATGGAACATTATCACAAACTGAGGCTATTTGGTTCCTCTAAAAACAAAATCATTCTATTTATCTTTATTCTTTTATAAACAGAGTGCTTTAAAGGCCGTCGAAACCATTTCTGGATACCGTGATAATAGAGACTCCACCTCCGCTGGCATACAGTGCGCGCATAGATTTTCTGAGCTATTGTAGAGGAAAATAAATTGTACCACAAACAAAATTTTATGAATCAAGTTAAAAAGTAAGAGTTAAACAACAGCAAGGATAGGATAATTCAGGAAGGTGAGCAGCAATCTTTATTTCGATCAGGAAATGTGATAACTACCACGGTAATAGAGTAACCCATCCTACAGTACCTAGCCAAGTCAGAGGTTCCGCTTCAGATAGCTTGCAAAGGCAAATGTTCAATTTACTTTATAGACAAGGCCTATTTTGACCATACATGTAGGTTGCATGCATGTACATGTACTTATTCACCAGAATCAAATAATCGCCAGAGATGAAGCACAGATCGTACGATTTAGGTTCATTGTTTTTTTAATAAGCCTATCAGTACCTGGTTCTGTTTGTTACCCAAAAGTAATTCAAACTCTGAAATTTCTTGAATGAAAATTTTAAATAGAAGAGGAGGAGGACTTAGGACATTTGGGGAAACATTCATTTTTGTTTCATTCGTTAATCCAATGAGTTGTGTAACTTCATGTAGGCCTAAATTCACAGCTTCACATCATTTGGTATCGCTTTGAAACATAGGGTGAGAAATACATGTCAGTAAACCCAATACAAGGCCAACTATTCATTTCACCAACGTAGCTAACAGTGAGTGAATGAGTTAACCTCCATGCCCTTTTGGAAACCCCTCTCCGAGCTCCCCACTTTTAGAGAGGCAAACAGCTCAAGCACCGACGGGGTGAAGTGGAAATGTGGCAACGTGGAAATGGACCAAAGTGACTTTAAAGTGTGACGACCATTGATCTCCATTATCAATGGTGACGACGGACAAGGGCACATTCCAGCAAATCGTTGGATTTCTGCGCTCGAGCTCATTAACATTTTGTGATCCCACAGTGTTATTACAATAAGACATGCCATAATCAGGAGGGATCATAGAGATATCGCGTGGCTAACCCCGATAAAATTGAAATAAAAAAACGAACTTCTAGCCATACTCTTGAATTTCCAGTGAAAAACCAGAGGCCAACCACTTCCCAAGAGTCAACAGGTGGCGCTATTTGGTACGATTTTGCACTATTTTCAATGGGGCCTTGGGCGCGTATTTGGTGTAGTGCAACCACAAGTCTTGTTGTCTGGAATTTGGCCACTAAGTTGGGCATACATTGTGAGGGTTATACATGTACCTTTGTGACCCACTTTGTACCCTTTGCCGTGCCAAATGCAGCATGATTCTATGCAATTTATGCAACTCCAGTCCAAGAAGGAGAGCAAATGAAGAAAATAGACCTACATGTAGCCCCAGCTAGGCAGGCTTGTAGATTTTTAAACTGGCCTAGGGCTACATGTATTTTTTCTGTTTTCTTTTTGACCTGATCTTGGAGAGGATGTCATAAGAAACATTTTGATATTCTCGCGGTCGGAGGTTGTTCCATTTATTGCACTCACGTCTGGCCAAAGGGGCAACTCTTCATTCACTTTTACTGGGATTTGCATGTTTTTCCTCCTTTTTTCCTGCAACATGATAAAAATAACTAAAACCTTTTCGGTACAGTGTGGGAGATATTTATAGCCCTTAAATAGTGAAATTTTGGACATTGATATAAAAGTCAACTTGGTCCCAAGTCAATTCTGTCTTTACGGAAAATGTAATTAAAGAGAGGTTGCATGACTTCATTACAAGTCTCGACATTCAAACTTTCCAACACAAGGAAATTGCCATAAATTTTTATCTTCCATAAATTTCAGAGTTAAGGATGTCCTTATACCTGGACTACTTTAACCACTAACCACAGCAAGATAAACAACATTCACTTTGGGATATGATATCGAACCAAAAATACTAACAGAAGTTATGCAAATCTAAATGTTCTAGAACCACTAATGATCCCTGGCAAAGTTTACGAAGTGTTTATTCCTTTCAGTCTGATCGATCAATGGCTTGTTTTTGTTCGATGTTGATGGACTTTTTTTGTAAATTGAATCCTTGCATTTCAATTTTATGTAACAAGTAATTGTGATGACCATGGCATTTTATTTATGTGCATATGGCCGGCTCCAAGTGCTTGGCAACATTAATTGTGGCGTGCACGGAACAACGGTCTGGTCCCAGCTTGAGATCTACCCCACGATTAGGAGCATTTTAAAAAACTCAATAAAGTCATGATTGTTATCTGATTCTCCCTCAGGTTGACGAGAAGAGGTGCCTACATGGATGCCTGTAGAAGGGTGCTCTGTCCATCTTGGAACAAGAGTTCTTGGACTTGTCAAGATGGAAGATTTTACATTCTAGTACATCTGTAAGTTACCAGTAATACAGTGTTAGTAGACTGAGTAGTAATACTGGTTTTGATCACAGTGTTGCATTGTTCTGACCGAACTAAATTTGGAAATGAGAAATCCTTTTATGGTTGTTAATAAAGCATTCATTTTCATAATGTGAGGCATTTAAAAAATGTTTTGATCGAATACTCCTGGAGTAAGTATGCACTGAAAAGTAGTAAGGCCGTCAAACACTTGATGAGGCATTTCTTATTAGCTGTTTTTTAGAAACGGCTTAAACAGCTCTTGTTTGTCTTAATTAGCTGTTGAGGGCAATAGCCGAAACAGCTATTGTTCTTCTTAAAACTTTAATTTTTTTATTTTATTTTTTTTCCACTTTTAACCCATTTAACATAAAACAGGCCCATTCTACATGCTGCTTTTGGCCTTTTTAAAACCTGATTCCCTTCAAACCTGGGAGGTACCGGTATTTGGACTACTATTTGGAAATCTACCGGTACATGTATGCCAAACCTTGATGTCATCATGATTCATGATGTCATTACCTGTGGGTGTCAATTTACATCATTTTAATCTTGAAAATCCAGAGAAAATCAATTAGAAAATTTACATGTAGGTCTTCATTTTTCTCTTGTACATGTAAGTAAAATCACGTGACTGTTGCTTCCCGTCGAAACCGGAAGTGCCTTATCATTTAAATTTGTAATACTGTACATGTACACTGTACATGTAAATACGAACTTGCTTATTAACAGTGTTAGTCTCAAGCAAGAGATTATTCTTCGAAACTGTGAGCATTGACTTCATGAAATTCTCCACCGCCCTCTAGCAGCAGGTTGAAAAATGTCAAACATGCATTTTCAATAGATGTCTCTGGCTCAGTTTGCTGTAATTAAAACTTGAAAATTGGTAAATCTGATCATTTACTGTATGATGACCTTTACTCAAAGAACACGTGTGATGTTTGAAGCTGATGATCATTAGACTGGAAGTTACCATGAAAAGACCTTTAATTTTTCAAAAATCACTGACAAATCAATCCTGACATTTTCAGTCTTGAAATACCAATCAATTAAAAAAATAAACATTGACGTCAAATGTCCAAGGCGTTAATATATGAACATGTAGCTTTTTTTCACATACATTTACATACGTGTACGTGACCTGGCGATGACAAAAATACCATAACATTTAGTAGCCTTTCACTCAAATAAAATCAATGCACACCCATAACGCTGTCTTCTGTGTGTGTACTGTACATACAGTGTACATCTACAGTCATGTACAGTGCATGCATTCACTCAAGATACATGTAACTGCTTATTGCACAGTTATAATGCTTTACCTGGATATTGGAACTAGAGGGTGACATCCAGTCAGTGCAAGATCCCATGGCAATTTACGCTTCCTACAGACATACCGGTACATGTACTTTAAGAGCACTGGGTTTAATGCCCGTCTAGTCACCTTTTTTCCACTCTTTTCTTTTTTTTTATTCAAAGACTCAAAGAAAAATTTCCAAAACAGCTCTGTGTTTGCTATGTAACAAACACAAGTCTTGTTACTGCTTACATTGTACAGTACTTCTGATAATAAACCAACGCTTTCTCTAAAGCACCCTCTGGACTATTATTCACGAGCCTGAAGAAAAGTGCAGGGAGTAGACGATAAATCTTCAGTTCTGGAGGTGGGAGTAAAACCGTGGATACATGAACGGTACATTTTAATGTTCTGGGAAGAGTCCATGTAGGATCAAGTTAGGGCTTACATGTAAATCAAGCTGCTCATGTTGGCCTTGGCTGGATTCAGTTCCAGGTCACAGATTTTGAGTGTGAGGTTGGCACTGATGACAATGAACGGTGTACTGTTTTGATATCCTTAAATCTGTGATCTTTCATCTCTAGTAAATTTCCACACAAAGACGGGATGTGTTATCATGTAACCACAAAGTGACTGAGCAGAACACAGTAGTTAAAAACCCTACCTGACCCAGACATCAGCGAATACTGTTCTGTCATGATTTTTATCTGCATAGAAAAACACATTTTTAATTTTTAGTGTTTACCATATTTTTCAGAGGTCTTTGCCAAAAGATTCAATCAACTTTTCTATTGAAATAAAAACCACACAAAACGTGTTGAAATATTTCACAATTGAAGAGCTGAGTTCCAAATCAAATATCCCAAGTTGGCCAATCGCTAGGCGATTTGAAAAACTCTCTTATCCGCTATTCTAGGCCATGACACAACACTCAGTTCAAGATAAGCATAAGCTGTTAGGAATGTCATTGTTTGGTTCCTTTATTACATTACAACTGTTGCAAAAATATCTCTTGACCCTCCAGCTTTCGTTGGGATCAATAATTGACATTACCCCTGACAAAAAAGCTACATTTCTCGACTATTCAGTTTAAATTCCACCTAAGCTGTGTAATATCCCTCAAATTATGACTTGACTTTGCACAAAAAGATCACACAGTTACATTGAAGCCGATGGCATACAAGCAAATGCGATGACACTGAGCGTTGAGCCTGACATCATCGGCAACAATCACATATTAAAAGTACTCTACACATCTCAAAAGTAGAGGGCGCTGTTCATTGTGCTCCAAACGTCAATTCCTGGCTGACGACGGCTTAGAAAGTTGATTTTTTTTTTTTTTTGGCAGAATGATGAATTGCGCGACTTTTCTGCTGGATTATTTTTTTAGCCAATCAGTCAACCAATTTATGAATAAACTACATGTAGACATTTTTGCCCCAGGTGGCTATTTATGGCCGATTGTTAAGAGACTGAGGTTGCGACTTTGCAGTGCTTGGTGCGTGACCTATTGCCGGTGGTAATTTATTCCATTCTGCAAAAGTTCTTGGGAATAATGAGAACTTGTAGCAGTCTTTGTGTGCAGATGATTTGATGAAAGAGATTGCTACATGTACCTGTTGTCTTGTTGAATGGTTTGGTTTGGCCTGGTACATGTACAGTACATGTACAGTCGGTATTGATGGCAACGATTTTGTTGACAGATTTGTAGAGGAGGGTCATCTCTGGGCTGCTCTACAATGTTCCAAGGGTTCCCATTCCAGTTGGGACAGCATTTTGGTGACACTCTCCCTCAGTGTTGTTGTTGAGGACAAATCAGTCAGATCCTTGTTGAACCCCTTCCAGCTGTAATTTATGTTTCTTATGACGGGGATCCCAGACTGATGAACAGTACTCTAGACGAGGTCTGACTAGTGTTTTATAAGCCCTCGCTATTACTTCAGAAGAACAGCTACTGTAGACAGACCTAGAATTTGGTTAGCTTTTGCTGTAATACTTTCAGTCTGAGTTGCCCAGCATAATTTGTTGTTGAGTCCCGACTCCTAAGTACATGTACATGTAAGTGTGGTAGGTTACAGCTTGTAGTGTCGTATCCCCCCAACTTGTAATCTTCCAGAATTGGCTTCTTTACCGGTATGTGGGTAATTTGCATGGTGTAACATTTAGACTTTTGAACTTCATTTGCCATGGTTGTCTGTTAAGGATACAGTCGTCTGTGAATAGACGTACATGTACTTTCGATGTAAAATCCATTTCAGATGCCATTCACGTACATGTACATGTATAGCAAAAATACGTTGTGGGACACCAGATGTTACATGTACATGAAGGGAAGATGAAGTTTCAACCTGTAGGACAACTTGTTATGATACATGTATATCTGTGTAAGAAATGTCCTACTCCTAATCCAAGTATGGAGTGAACCATTTATTCCCGAATGGCTAAGCTTAAGGTTAAACTGAAACTACCATTTTGTTTTTGATGTGTCCTTAATCTTCTCCACCAGAGAATTTGTAGCCTTGTATAGCTCTTTGAAATCAGACCTCGTTTTTCTTAATTTTTCGTCAAATGAGGATGCAAAAACTGCTTAGATGTCTTGTAAGTCTGCTTTGGGTTGCCGGGGCAGAAGGTGACAGATCTTGGGTTGCATCTTCGTGTAACATGTTGGCAAGGAAAAGGTAGTGTTGCGCCTGTACCACAACTGACGTGAATGAAAGATCGTGCCACTATAGTCCTATATAATCCCACCTGTGTTAAGTAATATCCAAACAATAACATCATAGAAAACCACGCACCGCAAAGAAAGTAAATATGTTCTAATTCAGACCTGGATGTTCAAACAAACATATTTTTATTTCTCATGCTGTGGCGAGCTTGCAGTACGCAGTCATAGTGGTACAGAAAGCCATAGCCGAGGATGCCCTCATCACTAATGTAGGCGACAGTTGCATCCCATCAATAGTGCTGTCCACCAATCAAGATGTCAACTGTAGCAACACCTTCAGTGGGAATAAGTTCTTTGTTTGCGGTTTCCAGTTTGTATCTTTGCGAAGGGGTTTGAGTTCAGGGCACTTTTCAGTTGCTATTTGGCTGAAAAGTGCTGATGATGTTATGGTCACCGCCGCTTCTGTGTCAACTAATAGTTCACTTGGTGTGCCGCACATTTGCACTTGTAAAAACACAGACATACCTTGCATTTGCTGTCTTCCTAATTGGATAGTATTCTGTTCATTGGAACAGATCGATGCCAGGCCGGGCGGCACGGTCCTTGTTAGTTTCCCGGCTGTATGATGACAACCTCTTTTAAAGAAGCCGTTGTTTCAGGACACTTGTTCGCAAAGTGGCCAGGCTCGCCACACTTGAAACAAGTGACGTCATTGGTTTTCTGCTGTTTGGCTTCAGCAGGTTTGGCAGGATTCTGTGTGCTGGCTTCCACGGGCTTGGTGAGTTTCTGGCTGTTAACGGGTTTGTTTTTGCTCCGTTTGACGATTCCATTCAGTCGTAGGTCGAGGTTGTCCTGGAACTGTCGAAACTGCTTTGTGGTGACAAACACGCTGCCATTCTCAGGAGCTGCTTGCACAGTCTTCACACAATGTGAATTTCCAGAGCTCATGGTGTCACGGAGGCTCAGGAAATTTTCGACTGCCGTTGTAGCCTCCTTGAGGGACTTGGTGTTTGTCATGCCGACCGAAACTGCTACCTGCTGGTCAGAGAGGCCTTTCAGAAAATGGCGAAGAGCGATGTTCTCCATAGTAACTGGATCTGCTGTTGGGTAGCCACAGAAGACACAACGGTGAATGTTGGCAACAATCTCAGCTTCTCCTTGTCAGCTTCTCCTTGGGCTGATGTTTCCTAGCTTCAAGCTGAGTGATGCTGTAGTTTGGCAGTTGTCATTCGCCAAACTGCTTGCCAAGCTCCTCCATCAAGATGTCGAAGGACTTGATGGCTTCAGGATCAAGTTGCTGGGAAACATACTCGGCTGCCTTTCCTTGCAGACTGCTCAAAAGCCAGAACAGCTTTTCTTCTTCAGTCCAGCGGCAAGCCTTAGCGAGACCCATCAGTGGTCGGACGAAGCCCTCCCATGACTTTGTGCCGTCAAATTCTCCTAGACGAGGGAGAGGAACATCCAGCTTGTGACTCGGCTGTGCTTGGGGTGAATGAGACTCAGGTTGCTCTGCAGCTGTAGATTTTACTGCGATGTCTGGCGTAGATGTTGCTGCCTGTGAATCTTGCGAGGATTTTGCTGAAACACTGGCATTTGTCTGCTCTTGGAAGAAGCCAAATATTTCAAAATCTTAGATGCTGAATTTTCTGTTATTTGAATTTCCAAACTCCAAGTCCAAACAAGGTTGCCCAAAGTTGACTGAAAAAAGAAGCGATTGGGATCTTGATGTGTTGGTGTCTGGGTTCCAGACCAAAAGATCCTCACACTGTTTTCAAATCGTGTTCAACAATCAAGAGTGAAGTAGTGTAGTAACAAACAAATACATGTACATGTAGTAGCAGTGTGTACAAGTACATGTGACTACATGTACAATGTACTGTACAAGGCACTCCCATTGCATGCACTTTGTTTCTATTTTCTGAGTTTCTAATGTTGGAAAAGAATGTTACATCCACTCTTGGCAGAATAATTTCTTTACGTCATGGTTTTGTTTGCAAAGCATGCCTGACTTCTGAGTTGGTCCCATCATGGCTTTGTTGTGTGTGCGCCCTCTAGTGATCAAAGGTACTGGTCACATGAGTACATAATTATTGGAAATCTGCAAGGCACACTGGAAATCTGTACGTCACTAACGTTGGAAAAGAATGTTACATCCACTCTTGGCAGAGTAATTTCTTTACGTCATGGTTTTGTTTGCAAAGCATGCAGCCAATTTAATGGACATGTACATGTATGTACGGACACATGTACATGTATACATTGTAAATTTGTATTTTTCATCTTTCTGACCCGTTCCAGTGGCAGTTTTGGAGGACTGAATATAATTTCTACATGTAGTTACATGTAAATGTCTCTGTTGCTTTGGGTGTTTCAATTTACAGTGTACAGGGGTATTCAAGTTTAAAAGACACAGTTCAAATTTTTCTGAGTGTGACAGAGTGTTAAACAGATTTGACGGTAATAAAAGATAAATTTAGCCAAAAACTGGTGTCAAGGCTAATACTGGTACAAATACATGTTGGTTTGAATTAAACCCTGACTCAAAGAATTCTTTGGGATATATTTCCAGCTGAATTTTAAGTTCTTTGTAAGATGCGTGTAGGTGCAGCACAGGAAGCTGTGGAAGCTGACATGTACATGTACATCGTGTACAACGCACCAGCACATGTCTTTCTTATCTACCCTGTACATGAATGTATACGGGTAATTCCAGAAATCAGGGGTCCATTTTTGTGTGTGTCCCTGTCACATCTGACATATGATTTTGTAAGTTCAGAACACATTTTCTAATTTCCAAGAGTGACGAATTAGTGCAAATTACCGGCCAAACAAAAAATGATAGTTTGAAATCAATTCCAGTGATATTTCCTTGTCAAATAATAAAGGTCAGATGTACATGTAGCAGGGACACGAAAATGTCACACTTTTGGCCCCCTAATTTCTGGAATTACCCACATACATGTACATATACAATCAAAACTAATTAATTAATGATTGTAGGGATTGTTTCTCTGATTCTCCCTCAGGCTGATGAGAGACACTGCCATGCAAGATGCCTGCAGAAGGGATGCCATCATTGTCACGTCCACTTCGAACAAGAGTTCTTGGATTTGTCAAACAGGTAAGATACTGTATGTTCTATACACTACAAGCTTTGTGGCCACTTTGTGTACTTCGGTGCATGTTTCTGACTGAAATACATGTAGTTCTTGTTTCCACGGTCTTCCTGGAGCTTCTGCACAACAGACAGCTTTCTTCGGGTTTGTCATGAAGTCTTCTGCTTGACCGTTGGCTCCTGGCCAGTGGGGGATGATCTTTCTGTGGCAAAATCCAAGAGGGAATGTTTTGAACTCCACACTGTTGAATGAGGATCATTATTGGTTTTCACATGTTTTTTTGATATTCCCTGATGACTGCTGTGGGCAAGCTGGAGAATGTGCTGTTGAAAACTAGCAGGAATTATGTTCAAGCGTTGCTCTCACAGGACTACATGTACCGTACCCGTACACCACTCTTTGTGACTGATACTGTCTCCAGTTACCCAGAAAGCATTATACATGTGTTCTCTTTGAGTTTGAACCATAGTCCATCGTGATATGCTTGTATGATTATTTGGAGAGCATGGTCTTTGTCTATTTCATGGTGGATTTCGTCAAACGTGAGAGCCTTGGGAGTGAAATGGTGCACAACTACGTGAACAAAATCATCAGCTTCCATTGAGAGACTTTCAATCTCACTGTTTGAGTTAGGGTGTCTGGACAATTAAGTACGAGTACGGTAGCCTGCGGGGTTGTCCTTTCCAGCATGGTGGACAACGGACAGGGTACCGTACATGTACCGGTACATGTGTGACTGCAGTTTGAGCAGCCAGTTCTGTGTACATGGAGATGGATTTGCCAGAGGTTTACTGAGTAAGGGAATAAGTGGTTTGTGAGTGACGACTGTGAACACTTGGCCAATCCTTCAAGTGATTTGTTTAGTGGGTGTCAGGGCGCAACTGGCATAGCTGAACACCTTGTTTAGTCCCTGTTTGCCAGTTTGTGTTAACATTGCGCTGAGGCCAACGGGTCTACCCGTAGCATCAACTCATACATGTACATGTACATGTACTTCTGTTTCTTTGGCTGGGTCAAAGTGTGCACCGACAGCTTCAAGTGTGAGTGAGTCTTTGAGTTTTTGGAGAGCTTCAACGTGTATTGAGTTCCACTCAGACTTTGTGTCTTTCTCAGTAAGTGTGCGAAGGGGCTCAGTAATAGTTTAGAAGTATGAAACATGAGCCATAGCTTGCCATATCAAGGAGGCTGTGGGCTTCTGTTGGACTCTGAAGGGCACTGGCTTTTCACAGGTCTGGGGAGACGCCATATCCACTGAAGACAAGTCCAAAGAAGTGTACAGTTGTACGCGAGATTGAGCAAATTGGCACTTCTCCTCTCCGCCTTTCTCTTGCAGGTGTCTAGAAGAATGTTTAGCCTTTTGTTGTGCTCGTCAGTGGTTGAGGCCTTCCATGTACAGTATATCAGAATGTTGTTTGAGACATTGAGCACACCTGCTATGCCTTCAATGGTTTGTCGGATAGCGTTTTAGAAGACTTCCCTGGGTGAAGAGATATTGGGTCTTAAGTATCACTTGAGTCCAACATGTGTCACAAAGGTCATGATGTACATATTCCGTACTGACTGTCTGGCGCCAGGTCTCGCTGATGGTATCCAGAAGGAAGATCCAGTTTGGAATAGGATCGTGAGCCATGTACGTGTAGCTTAGCCATTTAGCTTACAGTGTACGGTGTAGCTCTGAATTTATCCATAGGTGGTAATACATGTAGGTGCCATTCTCACTTGGCTTGGGCGGTATTTCGGTATTACCGGATACCACTTTTTTTAATACCGAACAGTACCGACTAACAATCCATGAATACCGGAATACCGACTAATTCGGTATTGAATTTCAATACCGCGGTATTCTGGCTAATTTGTTCAGAATGTTCCCACAACCCTCATAAGATGAAAGCAGACAATTATATCCACAACAGTGACTGCATCCTTTGTGGTTTAAATCATCCAGCATCATGTTTGTATTGTCTCTTTTGGTGAGGAGATAAGACGTAACGTGATATTTCAGCATGCAGCCATCAACCCGCCTGTCAAAAGGTTTTGTTTCCCTATTGCCGCCGCAGAGTTTGCGGTTTTGGAATAGCTTGTAGGCAGTGCTTCTTGTACATGTACATGTATCACAGCCCTTCATGTTGGGAATTAAAAATCAGCTGGTCTTCCATGTACGCACTGGACTTTATTTTCCGAAGATTTTTATTGGCAGATCAAAAAATTTGAATGCTGCTTGTGCTAGCCTTGTGCTCTCTTAGGGTCTTTTTTGTCCTTCATATACCACATGTACAAGTATTCTGTGAAAATCTATCTAACCGAAGCCAGGAATGTGTGTTATAAACTATAAAATGATTCCATAAATCTACATCTGTTCGACATTCACGGCAATCAACGATCTTTATTATTGTTCTCACATTCGTTTCAACCACACGAAAAGAGAAGCAAAAACATGATTCCCCACTTGTCACTGCTTGTATTTCAGTTTTTTCCGGAATTAAATTAGGACAATGTGGTTGATAAAAAAGATCTCTCGGTTATGATTAATTAAATACCTTGTGATGTGTTTAGAATAATAAACTTCACTGTCAGAGGACATGTTTAATGTGCATGTGAAATTTAAAAAAAGCAAATACATGTGAAAGCATCAATCCAGGGATTTTAAAAGACTTTCAATCGCCATGGATGACGACGTAGCCAACAGTAACTAACCTGCGTGCGCATGTACATGTAGGCCTGGATGTACATGTACATGTACATGTACCTGCAATAATGTGAAGGCTCATCAACTAAAGCCCCCATGCTTGTAAGTACATGTACATGTAGTCTTTCCAACACAAATTGTGTCACGGAGAGACATTTTTTGGTTTAATTTTTCGCCTCTCTTTTGATTTTTGACACAAGCTGCATGACACAATTGATTGGTAGTCCAAGTTCACTCGCCCACTGCGGCGCGGTCGCCCGCGCGCGAGATGGTCGCGGAAGATGCATAATGTCATGAACGAGTACTACGATTGGATAGCTGTGTCTTGCCAAATTACGTCATGAAAATGCACAGTCTCATTGGCGGGCACGCTAGATCTTTTTGTAGTAATATGAATAATTCAGTGTTGGGCGATTAGTTGGACTCTTGAGATACGAGAAAAGTCTTGTGAACTTATTTGGGGCGTATTTTATCAGTTTATTGGAAATGGGATGGGAATTTTTGTTTTGGCGTTTGTGTAATCAATGTAAAATATCATGGATTTTTTAATCGTGCACTTTGCGTGTCATGATGACAGGAATCTGGCAAACGATGTCTGTATATCGCGTTGTAAGCGTGCGTGATGCACATGGAGGGGTGGGTGATAAGCCTTGTGTTGCGCGACTGGAAATTTTGTGGAAGCACACTCGCTTGAGTGCAAGCAGTACAACCTCAAATTAAATTCATGAACACAGAAAACACAAACATAGACATGAGATCAATATTTGTGAATGAACCTGCAGAAAAATTGGTGATGGCACTTTATTTTTGACTTGCAACTATAAAGCTGCATTTGATGTAGTGGAACGTACAAGCCTTTTTTTTTGCAGAACCTGTACAATGACTGGTTGCCGCATTTCCATCATGCCTTCATTGGCAAGGGTTCGGCCCGGCGGGAACCAGCGTGGTGCACTGCGCACGTGTTTTCACTACCGCGATTCGCAAACGTTTTATGAATGGGTCGTCAACAATGGTTTTTCAGGCAACGGAGTCACGAAAACCTTTCGTTGTACCAGGAATTTCTTACAATGCTATTTTGCTGTAACATACAGTATTTTCTCCCCATAGAAATATGCACGTTTTCACCGGGACCACAGATTTATGCTTGTTGTAATGGGAATTCTTTTACAACCGATTTCGTAATGAGTCGACTGCCACGTTGCAGTTTTCTGAAAGCCACCTTACCATTGCACACACGCCGTGTTAGGGCGCAGCTAAGAGGAGCAGTCACTGGTGACCCAAATGTAATCATTACAATAACACACTGTCTCAGCGAATACCAGCTTGACTGTAGTACATGTGCAGATTTTGAAACCGTACGAGTGACCACACAGATATAGGAATCGTGGGGCAACAAAGCGGTATTTACAACACCGTCCCTTTTTTAAAAAATGCTTTCACATAAATAATATTTATTTGACATCAAATGGACAGATAAATTATAATAGTTATCAAGTTCAGGGGGCTCTGTGGCGTTAAAAACCCTTTATGCTGGCCCCTAGTGTTGTTTGTGGTTTGCCATTGAATGTCAGCATCGCCGCTGCTTTTTGATGACGTCATTGCCTTCTGCAACGAATACCGCGGTATTAGTAAATACCGTGGTATTTTTTTCATGGATACTGCGGTATCGAAAAAGGCAATACCGCCCAAGCCTAATTCTCACTTTATTGCTTTGTTTTCAGCCCTCATGTCAATGCGTAGGCGGATGTCATTTGGGTTATGTGGTTTAGGGACTGCAGTGACTGGAGGACGCCTGATCCTCAAGATCTTGGAAGTGTTTTTCAATTTGTTTTCGCAGATGGGATGGTGCCTTGCGATAGCATTGAGTGACAGGAGACACAGGTTCGTCAATGTGGAGATTTACCAGAACTCCTTTGAGTTTGTCAATGCATGGGGCAAACAAAGCTGACTTGGTGAAGTCTTTGCTGTTGTCAGTGATGTTTTTGACTGGGTCATTGATCACGATGAGTCTCTGGTCTTGAGCTGATTGAAGGCCAAGGAGACATGCAGCTTAGATGTCAACAACAAAGACATTGACTGTTGCAAAGCGTTTTCCTGTTTCAAGGAGTGGTGACAATTGACCAGAAATGGGCAGCAGCTCATCTGAATGGTATTGATAGAGATGTACACTGGTTTTCTCTAGTTTCAGTGGTCTGCAAAGACAGATGCTGTTGAATGGGGTGTGTTGATGTGTTAGACAGGCACCTGTTGATACCTTTGGTCCTAACTGAGGTTCAAAGCGTATTGGAGGAAGTACTGGTATCAACTGTAACAGATGTATTCTTCATCAGATGAGGAATTGTCCTCATCCACATTTCTCACTATCTGGGATTTGTGTTGTGAGTCCTGTTTGCGTTTGCTAGATTGGCATACGGAGGAGAAGTGGTTGAGCTTAGCGTATGAAGTGCACTCTTTGCCATTAGCAAGGCTTTCTTGATATTGGGGGTATTGTCCCCCACAGTTGTGACATACTAGAACATGTACAGTAATTGGGGCTTTGCATTGTTTTATGCCCGGGCTCCACTGTCGTGATGGGGAAATTTACCCTTGTGAGCACTGCGAGGTGGTTTCTTTGAGATTTTGTGCACTGTCTGGCGGATTTCGATTGGGGTTTCAACGTTATCAGCCCTTTTCTCTGACAGTTCAAGAGATCCAGCAAGCTCTAATGCATGTATCTTTGACAGGGTGTGTGGCTTCTCAAGTGATTTACGGTGTGGTTTTTATGATGTGCACCCAGTTATTACATGTATCTGTGTCAAGAGTTCACGATTGGGGTCAGAAAATTCACACTTCTCAAAGTCGAGTGCAGAATTGATCAACACTTTCATCAGGATTCTGTGTTAGACACCTAAAGAGGATTGTTTCATGTATGGGATTCCTCTTTGGAATAAAGCGATTTGTCAATGTCTCTTTAGCTTTTTCAAAATCACTCACATCACTTACATGTACTTGTACATGTACATCTGAGTGCGAGTCCAAGTTAATAGTTTACAATTGTTCACCACCATAGTGTAGAAGCAATATTCACTTTCTCTCACCTGTGGTGATGTTGAATCCTATCATCGCTCCTTTGAAACGTTTGATCCATTTTTCCCATGCGATACCGAAAGCTGTCAGTGCTCCTTTATGCTTCAAGTGGAGGTACATGTGCATGTAGAGTGGGCATAGCAGATATCATGACTAACAGTGTGCCGTAGTCACTCACTGTATGCATGTGGCAAACAATGGCATAACTTGTCACGAAAGTGCAGAAAAAGTGAACAAAACAGTTTCTAAAAATTTATATTGCAGTAGATCAGTTCACTTATAAATTCTAAGTTACATGTATGTGCGCATGCGAATAAATAGTCAGTGGAAGCAATGAGCTTAAGCAGACCGCTGAAAATGTACAGGGGCACAAATTTCCACAGAATTTTCTTCAGCTTCTGTAATTTTCTGTACTTATGTCTTCACAAAACCCTCTATAAGCATTATAGCTACTAATTTCTAGTGTGAGAGGATTTTTAGAGAGCAAAATTAAATATTAAACAATTTCGATCGAAGCACAAGAGAGCGAAAGAAATCAGACACTGAAGTCCAAAACTGTTTAATTGGAAATGGTCAGAAAGGAGGCCTGTTACCATAATTTCTTCTAACCTCTTGCGCTCAGGGAGATAGCAAAGACTATTTTACATGTACCAATTAATCCTTTTAGACCAGAAAGTAATAGCTGCATGTACATGTATAATGATTTGAGAGGATTTACCAAATATGTGCCCCTGTACATTTAGAATGGGCTGCTCAAGCTTGTTGCCTCCACATTCTATTTATGCGCATGCGCACATAAACCCCAATTTATTAGTGAACTGGTCAAAGGACTGTAATATATGTACAGTATGCGACCAGTACGAGTGAAATCGCTGACCTGTGAATATCACAATATTGGCATTTACGGGTCCAGCATTCATCACCAGTTTAATATTTTCAGGACAGATTGAGGCATGGAATCACGCGACAAATATGCTGATCATGCTCATTTAAAATGTAATACACATGTACATTGTGACCTATTGAACTTACGCATACATAATAAGTAGCGTACAATGTAGTCATAACAGATGCTAGTCTCGCTGGTACTTGTAAGGGATCTTGTACACCCCTGACTTGTGCTGTGGGTTAGGCTGGTCCTTGTGTGAGGCCAGCAGGTTTTGCATCTTCAAGGGTACAATTGAATATCATGCTTGTGGAAGATACGCTGGATGTGATAGGAAGTGCTGGTTTACTGCCTGTAGGGGAGGGTGGCAGAACTACATGTAGGGGCCCTACCTATTCATGCCTGTTGTTGGCTTTGGGTGTACGTACATGTACATGTATCCGGTATGTGACCCTTCAGATGGGGGTTGGATCTTCAGTCTTGCATCTTGATTTTGGCTTGACTTGTATCATTCTGATGCAGCACTGTGGTGATGTGATGGAGTTCTTGGGTGAGATATTCCCTTTCAGACACGTATGGTACTAGTACGTGTACATGTACCAGTGTGCCCTATGAACAAGGGCCCGGTTAACAGAAGGCCAGATCTTCGGGTGATAGAAGGAAGCACTGTGGAGATACAGTACACTAAAAGAGAAAGAGCTTCCTTTGGGATGAACTAGCAGAAATTTTTACTGAAAAATTGTGATACTTTTACTTGAAGTTTTCAATGTCAAACTTTGATGAGACTCTCATCCGTGTCCGATGGCTTGTGCTCCTTCCATTAATCTTAGTAAAGCATGGTCTGTTGACATACATGTACATTGTGAAAAGTGTACATGTACATGTATGTGCATATTTTACAAGACTAGTTTGTGCAACACAGATGGACGAGGATTGCAACAAGAACAAAAAGTCTAACAATTTTTGCATACAGTTGGCCACAAAGTGAATGTTTTGACATTTTTTGGCAATTCATGGCACTGGTCAATGTTGATATCAGCAGTCTTAATAACAACTGGGGACTAGTTCACAGTCTTATTTCCACTGCCTGTTTTATGTTAAAGAAAGAAACATATCGGATGTTGCTAAACATTAACATTTGACTTTTTGCTTCTAATGAATGCAGGGTCTTTTGTTGCCAATTCAGATTTTCAGCCCTAGCTATCATGCCAAATCAGATTCACCTAGATGAATTTGTTGAAGTAACTTTAGAAGCAAAGTGAAATAATGAAGTTTCAGATTAATGTATCATCTTCCAGTTTTCTGTTAAAATCATTCAAAGACTGCGTGTGATGTTACTTTTTGGAACCGATACATGTAGATTGTTGGTTTATTTGGGTAGCATCTTTAAAGGCCTACAAACTCTGAATTGCTGGTTTATTTGGGTTGCATCTTTGAAGGCCTATAAACTCTGAATTGTTTGTACTCGGGATAGATCCATGAAGATGCAGCACAATGAACCGGTACAAGGAAGCTTATTTCTTGCCCACAATTAAACTAATTGCATGATTATTACTTTGATTCTCCCTCAGGTTGGTGGTAGACACCTGCAGAAGGGCTACTCTCTATTTTGGACAAGAGTTCTTAGACTTTGAAAAGGTAAGCTCTTTCATTCTATTTACAGCGCAAGATTTTCTGGCCAATTTAAAGAGGTTTTGTTTGCTTCAGTGCATGTCGACCTTGGGTGTCCTCATGTTGACCTGGGTGGGATTTGAACCCGGGCCACAGGGTTGTAGGCAATAGGTACATATAGCTAACACTTCAGAAATCTGGCTTTCTGAAATTCAGACTCACCCGGTTGTGTTTGTCATTATCAGCATTATACTCAAGTGATAGCTTTTCTCCTTTTGTGTTCAGCGTTAAAACTCCATAAGCAGCCAAAAAAGATTTCACGTCATTCTCAAGACCACCAAACGACTGAGTATTTGTCATGTGATTCAAACAACCTTTTGCATAGTTTGTGAATTTTTCTTCATCCCCTAATCTCATCCCTGTGATCTGCAGAACTTAAGAATTGGTCAGAATACCTTGTTGCATTTACATGTAATTCAGCGAGGATGCTATGTGATTTCTATGGAAGGCCTTAATTTTGGAAATTTTGAAAGATGTTGGTTCTGTGTGCTTTTTAAATTCCTTTCCCAAAAGTAAATTTTCCCTGCTCCAAGAAACGTGCTTGTTTTTGTTTCCTGCCATTTTTTTATTCAATTTTTTTTTTAGGCTTTTCCCTTTTCACCCCAACTAGTTCACTCACTCGCCCACCACCCATCCCGCCAAAACGTTTTTTGATATAGTTATCTGCACCTTACAGCATTCATGGTTACCAAATGTGTCAACTGCAAAAGTAAGGCTTTGCTGGCAGGATTGAGCATGTCCAGTCACCTCTTCCACTACTCAAATTCAAATTTGACCTGCATGGCTAATGAGGGCTTTCAAGCTGGTTGCACACAATGCTTGGGCAATGCCCTTTCTTCTGGTCTATGGCATGTTATGTAATTAGGCCCAAGTCTTCAATAGTCAGAAAGCAGCATCCAAAAAGCCAACAAATTTCTGTAGTGCATCATGGAGGAAGGAAAAAGACATGTACATGTATCCCAATATGTACCTGGTGTTTGATTTGAACTGAGCCGATAGAAAAGCTTGAACACTGACAAATTGCCTTCCTGGTTTGTATATTTACCCTCTCAATTTATTGGAAACTGCCAAATTACTGTACATGCATTTCAAATATAAATCTTTAATAGTTTTATACATCTTCTGTGTCACTCTAATGAAAGTGTAAAACTGTTTACAAGTTTCACATTTGGTACATGTAGTGATTGCATACGTCAGTCTCAAAACATCATGTATAATTCCCTTCACTTTTTAAACTTGCTTTCAGAATTCCAAGAGTGCCTAGCACAGCCAAAGCAGTCTACCCTCATTGTGCTACCATCAACGGAGGTCTGGGAACCAGAAGACGTCAGCGTGCACCTGCTCCACTTCGCTACGCGCTCTAGTGGCCATTAGGGAACACAGTGCAGGTTGGTGGGCTGCATCAATGTTACATTGGTTGTACTTGTGACCGGCGGAGCAATGAATTCAGGAAGGTTAGAAAGGGGTGAGTTGTTATCAAGTCATTTTCTTCTTGTTTCAAGAATGTTTCATGTCACTTCATACATGTACATGTAGATGCAAGGACCTATGCGGATGTTGGTTAATTTTCATGCACACCACCGAAAACAGAAGCGGGTAAATTTGCCAGTTTTTATGTACCATTTTCAAATCTTGGCATTGCAGATCCTGGCTGCTTGTTTTCATAACCCACCAAAAATTTAGCAGCAGAAAAACACAAAACGCTGTATGAGTTGTTAATTTATTTGGGTCAATTTATTTACTGGCGCTGCAAACATGTACATGTGTGATTTGTGGTTATCAAATCTCAGGTTTTGGGGTCAGTTTTAAGTCAAGTTTCACATCATAGCAAAGTCACAATCAAGCTTTATGTTGGTGTGTTTTTACTTCAAGTGTTTAGAGTCGACAGAGCTTCAAGGAATACACTTAGCTGTACAGTTCAGAGGTTACTGAATTTCTTCTGAGCATTGCATTGTACATGCATTGATGAGGTCCTACTTCAACAGTCCAAATTATTCTTAAGGCTTTGCATTCACATTTTACTTTGTCAAATAGTTACCCAAGACATCAACAATAAACTTGTGGCCCTCAAATCGTAGTTTATCAAGTTTTTTAATCAAACTCATCGGAAACTGTGAATAAAAAGATTTTTAAAAGCCATAAAACTTTATTCATTTCATTTTGGCAATGAGTTCGTACTCTCAGATGCCCAAAGGTCCATCTTGTCTGGTTCTTCACAACCTGCAGTTGGAATAGAAAAATACAAATTTTTAAGTCGGCAGAACAAAGTGGAAAACAAATTACCATGACAAATGTTTTGTATTAACATTTACTTGATGTTGTTTGGAGATACTTTTGGCTTCTTACTTGAATTTTCATCCCCACAATTTCAAGGATTGTGACGGCGTTTAATATTAAATGAAAGTTAGGACCTCATCAACATAATTCAATGCATCTGAGGTAATTCAAAACTCTTTAAACTGTACGGCAAAATACCATATAATTCCTTGGAGTTTGGCATTGCTTGGTCAATTTTAAACACTTGAAATAAAACTACACTGACGTAAGGCTTGACTTTTAACTTTGTTGTGGTATGAAACGTGACTTGGAAGTGACCAACAAGACATGCTATTTGACCTCCACAGTGACATGAAACTTTCTTGAAACTTGAAGAAAATGACAAAATAACGGCTCTTCCCTTTTTTGTCTTCCTTAATTCATTGTTCCTCTTGTTGCAAGTACCACCAATGCAACATTGATGCACCCTCAACTTCTGTGTTGTGTTCCCAATGGACACTGGAACTGGGGGGTGGGGGGTGGGTTGTGCTGCGCGTTAGGGTGGGTTGCGCTGCGCGGGGGTGCAGCGCGTGGGAGTGGGTTGCGCTGCGTGGGAGTGGGTTGCGCTGCGCGGGGTGGGTCGCGCTGCGTGGGGGTGCAGCGCGTGGGTTGGGTCGCGCTGCGCAGGGGTGGGTTGCGCTGCGCGGGGGTGGATCGCAGCGCATGGGGGTAGGTGGCGCTGCGCGGGGTGGGTCGCGCTGCGTGGGGGTGCAGCGCGTGGGTTGGGTCGCGCTGCGCGGGGGTGGGTTGCGCTGCGTGGGGGTGGGTTGCGCTGCGCAGGGGTGGGTGTGCAGTGCGTGAGGCGCAGGGGAGAGACATTTGGAAAATGGAGATTACTTGTTTTTTTATTTATATAACAAAGTGCTGACTTTCTTGCATGACCCACCCGCGCGCACCGTGGCCCACCCCCCACGCGCGGCGCACCCCCGCACAGCGCGGCCCACCCCCCACGCGCGGCGCACCCCAGCACAGCGCGACCCACCCTCGCGCAACTCGCGCAGCGCAACCCACCCCCNACGCAGCGCAACCCACCCTGCGCAGCACGACCCATCCCGCACCCCACCCTCCCCCAGTTCCAGTGTCCATTGGGAACACATCACAGAAGTTGAGGGCACATCAATGTTGCATTGGTGGTACTTGCAACAAGAGGAACAATGAATTAAGGAAGACAAAAAAGGGAAGAGTCGTTATCTTGTCATTTTCTTCAAGTCTCAAAAAAGTTTCATGTCATTGTGGAGGTCAAATAACAGGTCTTGTTGGTTACTTCTAAGTCATGTTTCATACCACAACAAAGTTAAAAGTCAAGCTTTACATGAGTGTAATTTTAAGTGTTTGACCTAAACAGGTAATGTTGAACTTCAAGAAATACAATTATCTGTTCCATTACCTCCAATCATTGGATTTTGTTGAGACCCTAATTTTGTGTAACATAAATGCCATCAGAATTGTTTAAACATTTTGAGTGGAGAAATTCAATTAAGTCAGAAGTATCTCCAGTAATTAGCAAACATCAAGTGAATCGTACCAAAAATAATTGATAATAGTTTGCTTCCAGTTTGGTTTGCTGACTTTTGAAAAGTTGCAGGTTTGGAACTTATCAGAATATGATTTCTAAACTAGTTGGCTTGAATGAAATTGACTGTTTAGGGCTCTTAAAATCTCGCACATGTAATTACCGTTATTACTTATTGCATTGATTGGCTATCATAATCACTTATTGAAAAGGCAAAACTTTGAATGTTAAGCCTTAAAAATAATATTGACTATATAAGTAGGAATGTCATCAATAAAATCCAATGATCGGAGGAAATTCAGTAACCTCGGAACTGTACAGCTAAGTGTATTCCTTGAAGTTCTGTTTATTCTAAGCACTGGAGGTTAAAACTTACCAACATAAAGCTTGACTTGTGACTTTGTGCTATGATGAAAATGTAACTTAAAACTGACCCAAATAACCTGGGATTTGATAACCACAAATCACACATGTACATGTTTGCAGTGCCAAGATTTAAAAATGTGAATAAATGGACTAAAATAGACAATTTACGCAGTTCTTTGTGCCCCTTATTTTCTTTTGTGTGTTTAATTACTGCTGAAATTTTGGATGGGTTATATAAAATTAGCAGCCAAGATCCGCAGCACGAAACTGGTGAACTGACAACGGAAACTGACAAAGTTTCCCTCTTTTTCTTTTTTGGCATTGCTGCTGTAGCTTTTTTGGGTGGTGCTCATGAAAATTAGCCTAAATCTGCATGGATCCATGCAACTACAGCACATGTACATGTATGAAGTGACATGAAATACTCTTGAGACAAGAAGAAAATGACTTGACAACAACTCACCCCTTTCTGACCTTCCGAATTCATTGCTCCGCCGGTCACAAGTACAACCAATGTAACATTGATGCAGCCCACCAACCTGCGCTGTGTTCCCTAATGGCCACTAGAACGCGTAGCGAAGTGGAGCAGGTGCATGCTGACCTTTTCTGGTTCCCAGACCTCCGTTGATGGCCGCACGATGAGGGTAGACTACTTTGGCTGTGCTAGGCACTCTTGGGGTTCTAAAAAGCAATTTAAAAAAATGAAGGGAATTATACATGATGTTTTGAGACTGAAGTATGCAATCACAACCAAATGTGAAACTGTCAACAC